TGGGCTAGAGATCTTCTCAGAGAAGTGACCAGAGTGACTCTAAACTGTTTTGTGATATTTTCTGGTGTTCTAATGAATAAAGTTTACCTGAAAGATAAGAAAAACAGAGCAGCAACCACATATAGACTTCTTACCTCTATGAAACCTTAAACAAAATGATGGCAAGACCCTGTCTTCACCATCCTTATATTCCTGTCTCAACTTGCTATTGCTGGTATTAAAGGTGAGAACCTCCCAAGTGATGGGATCAAAGGCAGGTGCCACCACTACCTGGCCTCTATGGTTAACTAGTGGCTAGTTATGCTCTCTGATCTCCAGACAAGCTACATTTGTCAGAACACAAACAAAATATCTCACAACACTGTACATTAAGGACTATATGTCAGGGGTTCTTACCTAAGACCAGGACTTCAATAGGATCATTCTGACCAAACCTAGCAATAGTTCCTAAAATTGCCACAGCATCTGAGTGTGTCATTTTGGGTGGTAATCACCCTTCTCAGACCAAAATGAGCCTGGAATGGCTGAATGCCATTTTGCTGTGAATCCAGATTCCATTAGAGGTTGTTTTCACTCCTGGATCAGAATGAATCTGCCAAATCCCAGGAACAAGCTACACTGCATGGCTATGGACTATGCTGAAGTCATAGCAAGCCTGGCCTAGAGTGACAGTCTAGATTTATCATAGGCTACTAGGATAGAAAGGGCATTGTGTGAAACTACCAGCATTGTCCTCCAGGCTTGGGTTCTGGGAGAAATTCTTATGGAGAAATTCACCTTCTTCTGAGGGAGAGCCTATCCTGAGACTACTTAGTGTTTTCTCACCTGACAACACCAGACCAAGGGTGTCACTGTACTCTGTTCTGCAGCAGGAATGTTATATTAACACTTACACATCCCAGCTTATTCAGTTGTGATGTGTTTATGCAAAATAAAGTGCTCCCTGAACATTCCAGGACCCCTGACACCAAAAATTTACAGGCGTATGTTGAGCAATCACAGAGCCTGTTTCAATCCAAATGATAGTCTTTGGAAGGATTCCATCAAGGAATTCAAAAGCAATTCCAAAAGGAACTAAAAAGTACAATCCACCCTCAGACCTCAACTATTAGCATACAGCACCCATAGGCATCACAACATAACCTCATAAATACCTTTCTATATCTCCATTCTGAATAATTGGTCCATTGAAGAGCAAAAGGGAGGTATGGTCCTCAGAGTGATGAACCAAATCCTGTAATTGATGGAGACACTCACCCTCTAGAATTACAGTCCTGTGTTCCACACTGAGACCTGATAGAAAATTCTATGAGAGCTCTTCCCCTATAGCCAGGTTGGATCTTCTGGAGTCTTCATAAGGAATAGAACTTGACTTTTGAATAGGGTCCCTTATAGACTTGTGTGTCCACTTCTCTTTGTACCTAAGCAAGGTGCAGCAGCAATTTGAGCGTGGGGATCCTGGTAAAACTTGGAAATGTTCTTCGTTGTGTTCCTGGGGGGAGTCTGAACATTTTATGTAGCATCAACAGACAGACTCTTGTCATTCTGAGGGCAGATCCTTCCTACCATAAGTGTGCTACAGCATCACCCTTAGCAGAAGAAGACTTTCTCTTTTTTCCATAGTGCACTAAGATTGGCTAATTCTCAGGTCTATTAAGAGACTTCAGACAAAGACTCTATTTCTCTATTCCTCACAGCTTTCCTCGTGCCATATGTGTTTGCCAAGCTGGAGAATGAACATTCACATGTCATGAAGCTTTATTTCACAGAGAGTAACAATCCCACACCCCAAATATGCAGATCTGATGACAATCCAAAAACAGCACAGTGATTTAAAACAAGACAAATTAATGATCTTAAAACTGGAAGCCATAAGCTTGAGATGGCCCTGTAGACTAAAGGCAAATATTAGTTTAGAAAGCTCTTAGAACAGATTCTGCTCTTTCCTCTGTAAAGTCCAATGATCCACCAAATCCTTTGCTATAATTTCCTGATCCACTACTTCCAATGAACAGCCTTTTACAATTATGTGGCATCTTTTATCTTGTTTCTCTTAGAATGAACCTCTTGTTTTCCCGTTTCTCTGATCGAGACATTATTATTGTGTTTGAGACCATCTGGCTAAGTCCTCCTCCAAAATCCTTAAATTAGATTCCTTCTGTGATGTGAGGTGATATGCTCTCAAGCTTTGTGCATTAAAATTCAGACTCCTTTGGTTCTATCATTCTGCTTGGAAGAATTTTCCATTTTCCAAGTAACCTTTCATGATGGGCTTCTATTGTCCCAGGGATGTAATAACAGCAGGAAGCTCTAGGGATGCCTGTGAGTTGTGGAACCTGTAAGTTCAATATCTGTTCTTCACAAGACTGGGCATATGAAAGTCCCATGATGGATGATGGCTAGGTTTCACATCCTGCCCCCATGCTGATATTTTCTTTTTGGGAGGAGAGAGAAATGGGTAGAGGTTTTATTTTGTGGAATAACTGTTTGCAAATTTTCTATTCTCATGTAAGCAGCCTCTCACTAATGTTTTAGTTTACTAATCACTCATTGATTCAACCATAGTTGGATGACATTGTTTATTTGTTTGTCAGTGCTGCCTTATTTGAGGATGTTACATGGTTTGCTTCTATCACTCCATGAAAAGTACCCATAACATTGTGTCTTTAATTATCAATTTCTGGAGCAAAACTTTACCCTCAGAGGTTCTGCTTACTGGATCACAGGTCCTTGTGATGCTGGGATGGCCTAGTATCCTCTATGACATTCAGTAAAATTAATTAATTAGTAATGCTCTTATCCAAACCAGAATATAAAACAAGTGTCTCATTGTGTCATGTGGTCCCCCATGGGATCTCATCCCATGATATCTGCTGCTCAAGAGGTGAGAGAGGGTAAGGCCACAAAGAAAATGGAACGGGGTACAGATGCAGCTGAGCTGGTCCATCACATTCAAGAACCTGGCTCAGTCCTTGGAGTGTCTAACTGCAGGACATACCAAGCCCTGCGAAATGTGGGTCCTGATGGGTGGTGGGGTTTCTGAGGCGGGGGGAGAATATTGATTTATGGTCTAGCTGTGTGTCCACCCTCCTGCTTGTCAAGATCAGTCAGAGAGCACTTTGTTTCTTCCAGTGATCCCCCTAACCATCAAGGCAGGGTCTGTCTTCTATGGGCTGATGGCAACCCATCAGCTGTGTGACCTGACTCCCTGGGTTGGTGACATTTGCTGCCCAGGACATTGAGAGATGGATATAAGGAGAGAGATAAACAGTAAGCAGAATCCAGAACTGGAGGATCAGAGGCTGTTCCCATGGGAGTACAGCTGGTGGCAAGGCATCTGGATCACCTATGAATTCCTCTTTCAGGTGCAAGAACATTTGCTGTTCCCTCTGCATGTCAAGAGACAGTACTGTGTAGAATACATTGGGGGAATGCTGCAACCATCTTTGTGCTTGTGCTGGGCTCCCAGGAATGCCTGGGCAATTCACAGCTGCAGGCACAGAGTCTGTGGGGTTCCCATAGGATTCCCCACCACTCTTGCTCTGGGACACCCATATGTGCTGTCTTTTTAGCCCTTTGTACCATCCATACCTCCTAATTCCCCCTGCACTGGCTGACAGCATACTCCAGGGGCTGGAGAGCAGGAGCTGAGCCCCTGCAACTTCAGGGGCAATGCTTGGCCGTCACAGGTCCAGTTACTCTTGAGACTCCTCTGTCCCCTCATCCCAGAGTGGCCTCTTGGGTTCCCACAGGAACAAGACCACTGTCTTCAGGAGTGAGGAGCCCAACCCCTTGCTGTACTCGGTGACTGCTGAGATAGTCACTTACCTCTTGCAGCCAGTCTGGAGATCGGATAGACAGGGGACTTCTAGGCATAGCCCCTGGACGCTGAAGTTCTCAACTGTCAGTCTCCAGCCTGGATTAGTGTGGTAGCAGCCAGAGGTTCAAAGAACAGATTGTCCTGGTGGTGCTCAGGGACCAAGATGGGCAGTGCTAATGGATGGCCTGGGGCAGAGGTGGCATGCGATGGGGCAGTGTTCTGGAAGGAGCACCCCCAGCTCCTGGGCCTCCCTGGGACCCCAGAACAGACCTAGAGCTGGCTGCTCCCCACCAGCCAGAATCTCTTGTACATCAGTACAGTTTGATATGAAGAAGGAGCAGCACCTCTTCTGGTACCTTGAAGAAGTCAATGCTTACATATTAGAGGCTACTTCCAACCATACCCACATGGAACAACTCCCTGATCTCCCAGCTCTGGTTTCTGTCTATTGTTCATCCAATTCCTCATATCCATGCGTCAACATCAGGTGCAAGAGTATCCAATGTGGGAAATCAGGACACATAACCAATGGGCTGCGTGACCCCTCAGTCAAGCTCTTCCTAGCTCTTACTAAGAATGAAGCCCCTGCCATGCTGTAATAGAGGCAATGGAATAAACCAGGAGCTCTCTGGTTGGCCCAGACACCTAAAAGACCTGGGGGAAAAGAGGTAGATAGAAACACAGCAATAACGTAAGCCATCACCCATCTGCTCATGTAAGGTACACCACTACCCAGAAGAACCCAAGGACTTGAATATATGAAACCAACTTTAGATCACAGCCTCCAGTTGTAAGACCATAAATGTTGCTTGTTTTAAAATACTGTGCTGGTTTTCACCAACATCAGTTCTGCACATTATCGTTCTGGGATTGTTTAACTATGTGAAATAAAATGCCTTGATAAATGAATGTTGGTTCTCTGGCTTGGCAAAGACATAGGGCATATGGTAAACTGTGATTTTCTACACATTTTGTCTAAAGACTGTTTATAGACTGGGTACTTAACCAATCCCTTACACTACAGAAAAAAGAGAAGTTCTACTTCTGGTGATGGTGCTAGTGTGGTAAACATATGACAGGGAGAGAATGCCCTCAGAATGACAATAGCCTGTCTAGCAGTACTACAGAACATTGTAAGACCATCCCAAGAGCACAAGTAAGAACATTATCAAGACTCACCATGATCCCCATGCTCAGAATGCTGCTGTACTTTGGTAAGATATGAAGATATTAAGAGGGGGAGTAAACACTCACACATGTAAAGGCCCCTACTCTGGAGCCAGGGCTGATTACATGTGGAGACCCCAAGGGATCCACCCTGGCTCTCAGATGAAGAAATCTCTCAGAGAAATGTGTCTTCCAGGTCTGACTATGGGACACAGGACTGCAGTATCGGCAGGTGAGTTTTAGTCTATTCCATGAATTGATTATTCACTCTGAATACCAGATTTTCCTTTTGCTTTCCAGTGGACTGATCCTTCACAAAGAGAATGGAGAAAAATATTTGTTGGCTAATGTTGTGATGCCTGTGAGTGCTCTATGCTAATAGGTAAGGTATGAAAGAGAATTTTCCTGGAATTCAGCCTTTGCATTTCTTGCAGGTACTCTCCCAAAGCCCATCATCTGGGCTGACCCAGGTTCTGTGATAGCCTTATATAAATCTGTGAGTATTTGGTGTCAGGGATCCTGGGAGGCCAAGGAGTACCTTCTGCATAAAGAAGGAAGCCTAAATCCTTGGGACAGAGAGCTCCCTCTGGAAACAAGGGAAAAGGCCAAGTTATACTGTCAACACATGACAATCCAACATGAAGAGATATATACATGTCACTATAAGAGCACTGCAGGTTTTTCAGAGCACGGTGACATGCTGGAGCTGGTGCTAACAGGTGAGAGGGCACTCAGGTATCTCAGAACAGCCTCTCTCTTCAGAAGGTACTTCTTTCAGAGTCCAACACTGAACGTCAATGTCAGTAGCTTAACTTCATTTCACACATTACCTCTTTATCCTAGGAGCCTTTGCTGGCCTCTCAGGCATCAGGCTGGGGTCCATGCATTCCCCCTTGTTTAGGTCAGCTGCCTCGGTGGGTTTTGCCAGCCTGGTCTAGATTCCTTTGCTCATCACCCCCCCCCCCTTGCAACAGGGTTCCAGGAGCGCAGTTCAGTTTTTAGCTGTGGGTGTCTGCCTCTGCTTCCGTCAGCCAATGGATGAGGGTTCTAGGATGGCACATAAGGTAGTCATCAATCTCATTATCATGGGAGGGCATTTAAGGTTGCTTTAATGTCAGTTGGTGTCATTCTTGTAGATGTGTGAAGATCTCACTAGTGCCAGATCTCTCCTCCAACTTATAATGGATCCCTCTATTATGGTATCTCTCATCCTTCTCTCCTCCACTCTTGCCCTGGCTCAACCTACCTGCTCCCCCATGTCCTCCTCTCCCCTCCTCTTTTCCCTCTCTCTTTCTCCTACTTCCTTCTCCCCACACCACTGCTCCCAATCCAATTAGGTGATCTCGTAGGCTGGCAATCCCCTGCTCTATGTCGAAAATCCATATATGAGTGAGTACGTACCATGCTTGTCTTTTTGTGACTGGGTTACCTAACTCAGGATGGTTTCTTCTAGTGCCATCTATTTGCCTGCAAATTTCAAGATTTCATATTTTCCATCTGAGCACTACTCCATTGTGTAAATGAACCACATTTTCTCTATCCACTCTTCAGTTGAGGGGCATCTAGGTTGCTTCCAGGCTCTGGCTATTACAAATAGTTCTGTTATGAACATAGTTGATCAGATGTCCTTCTTGTATGATTTTACATCTTTTAGGTATAATCCTAAGTGTGAAATTGCTGGATACTGTGGTTGACAGATTTCCATTTTCCTGAGGAATCTCTATACTGATGTCCAAAGTAGCTGCACAAGATGGCATTCCTCCCAGCAGTGGAGGACTGTTCCCCTTTCCCGACATCCTCTCCAGCATAAACGGTCATCAGTGTTTTGTTTTTTATTATAACCATTATGACTGGAATCAGATGGCATCTCAGAGTTGTTTTGGTTTGCATTTCTCTGATGGCTAAGGATGTTGAGCACTTTCTCAGGTGTTTATTGGCCATTTTAGACTCCTCTATTGAGAATTCTCTAGTTCTGTACTCCACTTTTTAATTGGATCCTTTGGTGTTCTGGAGAATTGCTTCTTGAGTTCTTTGTAAATTTTGGAGATCAGCCCTCGGTCAGACTTGGGTTTTGTGAATATCTTTTTCCATTCTGTGGGGTTTCATTTTGTCTTGTTGACTGTGACCTTTGCCTTGCAGAATCGTCTCAGTCTCAGGAGGTCCCATTTACTAATTATCGATCTCAGCATCTGTGCTACTGGTGTTATGTTCAGGAAGTGATCTCCTGTACCACTTTGTTCAAGAGTACTTCCCACTTTCTCTTCTAAAAGGTTCAGTGTGGCTGGATTGATTTTGAGATCTTATGTCCATTTGGACTTAAGATTTGTTCATGGTGATAGATATGAATCTATCTGCTGTCTTTTACAAGCCAGCATCCAGTTACACCAGCACCATTTGTTGAGGATGCTTTCTTTTATTTGCCAAAGATCAGGCATTCAAAGGTGTGTGGGTTGATAGCAGGGTCTTAGATTCAATTCCATTGGTCTACCAGTAAGTTTTTGTGCCAACACCAAGCTGTTTTCAGAAATATACATCTATAATAGATCTTTAACTCAGGAATTGTGATGCCTCCTCAATTTCCATTATTGTACAGGGTTGTTTTGGCTATCCTGGGACTTTTGTTTTTCCATATAAAGTTGAGGATGGTTTTTTCAAGGTATGTGAAAAATTGTGCTGGTATTCAATACATTGAATCAGAAGATTGCTTTGGGAAAGATTGCCGTTTTTAACTATGTTGATCCTTCTATCCAAGAGCATGGGAGATCTTTCCTGGTATCTTTTTTAATTTCTTATTTTAAAGACTCAAAGTTTTTGTTATACAGGTCTTTCAACTGTTTGGTTAGAGATACTGCAAGATATTGTGGCTATTGTAAAGAGTGATGTCTCTCTGATTTTTTTCTCATCCCCTTTACTGTCTATATATAGTGGAGCTACTGATATTTTGAGTTAATTTTGTATCCTGCCACCTTGCAGAAGGTGTTTATCAGCTCTAGGAGTTCCCTGGTAGAATTCTTTGGGTCGATTATGTAGACTATCATAAGCTTTCTTCATCTGAGAGCCAGGATGAATCCCTTGAGGTCTCCACATGTAATTAGCCCTGGTTTCCACTTTGCTGAAGGTGTTAATCAGCTGTAAGAGCTCCCTGGTAGAGTTCTTTGGGTCATTGATGTAAACTATCATATCATCTGTAAATAGTGAAAGTTTGACCTCTTCCTTTCCAATTTGTATCCCCTTGATCTCCTTTTCTTGTCATATGGCTCTGCCTAGAACTTTAAGTACAATATTGAGAAGATAAGGAGAGAGTGGACAGCCTTGTCTTGTTACTAATTTTATCAGAATTGAGTTGAGTTTCTTTCCATTTAGTTTGATGCTGGCTGTTGGTTTGCTGTATATAGCTTTTTTATTATAGGAATCTGGGGTGCATAGTCTCCTACCTGGTCCTCTGTTCCTGTTGGTGGAAGAGAAGACCTGGGATCTGGGGTATGTGGATCCTGCCAGGATTGGAGGCTCTGTGGCAGTCCCCAAGCACTTGTCCTGTTGGTCTGCTGGTCCCGTTGGAGGAAAACAAGACCTGGGATTTGAGTTGCTTGGCTCCCGCCAGGATGGGAAGCTCTGTGGCAGTCAGTAGACAGTCCCCAAGCACTGGAAGGCAAGCCCAGATGCTGGGCCTTGCTTACCTAGACTCGCTGGTCCCCTGGACTCCTTGGTGGAAGAGAAGACCTGGGATCCGGAGTGCATGGCTCCCACCTGGAAGGGAAGCTCTGTGGCAGTCCCCAGGCAATCCCTAGGCACTGGAATGCAGGCCCGGATGCAGGGCCTGGTTTACCTGGTCCCACTGGTCCCCTGAACCTGCTGGTCCCCTGGTCTTGTTGGTGGTGGGATCTGGGGTGCTTGGCTCCTGCTGGGATGGGAGGCACTGGAAGGCAGGCTCAGATGCAGGGCCTTAGTTACCTCCCATTAACTATTTCTTAAATAAAAAGACCTCAAAATAACTGATTCAAGTAATCCACCAAATTGGTGAGGTATTCAGATCTTGAGACACAAATAAAACTGGTTTAGCATTTCAATTAGTGTTTTTGTCTATTTGTCTCTAACTACAAATTCAGAAAACTTCAACATCTCCCTGCGTCAAAAACAAAAGTATTTGATGTCTGGATAGGAGATTTAATTAAACCTAAATAACAGACTACAGAACACCTGTGTTCTCTAAATTTCTTCATTTAAAGAATGTAAAATCACATGCTCCCTTCTCTCTTCATTGATCTTCATGACATTTCTTCATATCTTATATGTTGTATCTTGAAAAAAGACTGTAAATGGATTTTTATGTGGAGGTATTTTATAGAGCGATGGTCCCAGAACCCGGTGAATAAGTCCCAGAAAATGAAATCCAAATGCAATTCTATAAGATATGGAGGAGCTGAAACTTGGTTCTTTGGAAGTGGTCAGAAACAGAAGTACCCATTTACATAAGTGACCAAAAAAACTCTACCAGGGAACTCCTACAACTGATAAATACCTTCAGCATAGTGGCAGGATACAAGATCAACTCAAGAAAATCAGTAGCCCTACTAAATACAGACGATAAAAGGGCTGAGAAAGAAACCAGAGAAACATCATTCTTTGCAATTGCCATGAACAATATAAAGTATCTTGGGGTAACCCTAACCAAACAAGTGAAAAATCTGTATAGAAAGAACTTTGAGTCTTTAAAGAAAGAAATTAAAGAAGACACCAGAAAATGGACAGATCTCCCATGCTCTTGGATAGGTAGGATCAACATACTAAAAAATGGCAATCTTGCCAAAAGCAATCAACAGATTCAAAGCTATCCCCATTGAAATCTCAAAACAATTCTTCACAGACCTTGAAAGAACAATTCTCAATTCTATACGGAAAAATAAAAGAACCAGGATAGCTAAAACCACCCTATTTACCAAGGCAAAGTCCAGAGGCATCACCATCCCTTACTTCAAGCTATAATCCTGAAAACAGCTTGGTATTGGCACAAGTAGACCAATGGAATCAAATCTAAAACCCTTATATTAACCCACACACATATAAACACTTAGTTTTTGACAAAGAAGCTAAAATTATACGATGGAAAAAAATAAGGTATCTTCAATAAATGGTGCTGGCATTACTGGATATTGGCATGCAGAAGACTGCAGATGGATCAATGTCAATAGCCATGCATAAAATTTAAGTCCAAATGGATTAAAGATCTCAACATAGCCGGGCGGTGGTGGTGCACGCCTTTAATCCCAGCACTCAGGAGGCAGAGGCAGGCGGATCTCTGTGAGTTCGAGGCTGGGCTGGACCGATAGCCTCCGAAACAATACAGAGAAACCCTGTCTCGTAAAAACAAAAAAAATCTCAACATAGATCCAGTCACATTAAACCTGGTAGAAGAGAAAGTGGGAGGTACCCTTGAACGAATTAGTACAGGAGACCACATCCTGAGCATAGCACAGACACTGAGATTGACAATTAATAAATGGGACCTGCTGAAGCTGAGAAGCTTCTTCAAGGCAAAGCACACAGTAAACAAGACAAATAGGCAGCCCACTGAATGGGAAAAGATATTTACTAACCCCACATCTGTCAGAGGGATTATCTCCAAAATCTACAAAGAGCTCAAGAAGCAAGTCTCCAAAGCACCAAAGGATCCTATTAAAAAGAGGGCTACAGAACTAAATAGACAATTCTCAATAGAGGAGACTAAAATTGCTGAGAGACACTTAAGAAAGTGCTCAACATCCTTAGCCATCAGGAAAATGCAAATCAACTCTGAGATACCATCTTACTCCTGTCAGAATGGCAAAAATCAAAAACACCAATGACAGTTTATGTTGTAGAGTATGCAGAGAAAAGGGAACACTCCTCCACTGCTGGTGGGAGTGCCAACTCGTACAGCCACTATGGAAATCAGTATGGAGATTCCTCAGGAAAATGAGAATCAGTCTACCACAAGACCCAGCAATTCCAGTCTTAGGAACATACCCAATAGATGCACATTCATATAGCAAGGACATCTGCTCCACTATGTTTATAGCAGGACTATTTGTAATAGCCAGAACCTATTCAGATGCCCCACAACTGAAGAGTGGATAGAGAAAATGTGGTACATTACACAATGGAATACTATTCAACAGATAAAAACCAATGGAATCAAGAAATTTGCAGGCAAATGGATGGCAATAGTAGAAACCAACCTGAGTGAAGTAACCCACTCACAAAAAGACAAACATCGTATGTATTCACTCATAAGTGGATTTTAGACCTGAAGCAGAGAAGTACCAGTCTACAATCCCACTGCCAGAGAGGCAGGGAAGCAGGAAGGGCCCTAAGAGAGACATACATTGTACCCCAGAGAAGGTGGAATGAGGCAAGATCTCCTAAGCAGATTGGGAGCACAGGGTGGGGGAGGGGAAATGGAGCCATGAAAAAGAGAGGGAAAGAAGAAGAAGGGAGAGGAGCACATGGGGGAACAGGAAGGTTGAGTTGGGGGAAGAATAGAGGAGAGCAGGAAAGGAGATACCATAATAGAGGGAGTCATAATAGGTTAGACGGGAGAACTGGCACTAGTGAGATCTCCAGAGAACTACAAGGGTGACACCAACTGACAAACTATGCAGTAGGGGAGAAACTACATTAAATGTCCATCCCTAATAATGATTTTGACGACTGTCTTACTTACCATCCTAAAACCTCCATCCAGTGACAGAAGGAAGGAGAGGCAGACACCCACAGCTAAACACTGAACTGAATTCCTGGAACCCAGTAACAGAGAGGGAAGAGTGATGAGGAAAGGGGTAAAGACTGGGCTGTTGAAACCCAGAGATAACGCTGACCTGAACAAGGGGGAGATCTTTGACCCAGACTGATTGCTAAGAGGCCAGCATGGGACTTATTCAGACACCCTGAATGTGTGGGTGTCAGTGAGGAGACTCAGGCAATCTATGATGTTTTTGTGTAGTAGATCAGTATTTATCCTTGCACACAAATGGACTTTGGGGATCCATTCCACAATGAGGGATGCTTTCTCAATCTGGACACTTTGGGGAGGGTCTGGGCCCTCCCAGGAACGAAATGTCAGACTCTAGAAATCCCCCAAGGAGGGCCTTACCCTCTCTCGGGAATGGAGTGGGGACTGGGTGGGGTTTTGGGGGCTGTTGGGGGGAGTGGGCATGGAGAGGCAGGAGAGGGAACCAGGACTAATATGGGAAGGAAGCTTGTTCCTAATTTAAATATATAATAAAAGTATAATAAAAGAAAAGAATACAACTAACCAAAAATAATAAAATAAAATAAATCTTTAAAAAGATGTATAAACCCAGAAATGTATTCTTAAATATGTATCATGACCTAGGAGTGGAACATAGATAGCCAAAAGAAACTCTACAGTCATTTCCCAAACAAGAAGGGCCTTTTAAAATGTATCAGTGAAGATAAATGTAATAACTAATTAAACTAACTTTCCACTGTGGAAATCTTAAGCAGGAACAGGAAGAAGTGTAAGATTTTTAGTGCAGTGGCTATTGAAATGAGTGTATGAAAGCTGAATAACAAATACAATATTTACTCTTCCTAAATGTATCTGGTCACAAATAAATGGATGATTACCAAGGACCAATGCCAGTTTAACAGTTTAGAAGGCTGAAGAATTCCAAATTAAGAAAGCAGTCAAGCAATCAGTAATCACATAGAAGAACAACTCTGCTAAGTATGTGGTACATTTAGAGTAAGGTCTTGACTTACATTGTTTTGGAAGTTTTTTGGAACTCTCAAGTACAACTTAAGGGAGGTTTTCTATATGTCACTCTATTTTTCTTATATGATGCAAGGCTCTTAGGGGAAACTTATTCTTCCATGATGTATAACTCCATGTCAATAAGTGTGTTTTAAGTATTTTCAGTTAGATTATGAGATAATAGGCTTTCTCTTGCCTTTCCCAAGCACCTGTACTGTAGTCTCTGCTTTTCCCTCTCTATATATTACTTTCCTTCCCTTCATATTTCCCCCTGTGACACCTGTGTCTTACGATCTTTTTCTACAGCTCTATCCAACCCTCTTCCCCCCACAATTTCTTCTTTATTTGTGGGCCAATTCTGTTCTTTGAGGATACTCTCAAGTCTAAATCCTCAGAGTTAGTGTCCACAAGTAAACAAAAACATAGCAATTGTTCTTAGGAGACTGAATCACCTCATTGACTCTTGTTTCTCTATTTCCATCCAGTTACCTATAAATTTCTGCAACCCTCTATATTACAGTGTTCTATATGATTGCTCTCCTATGAAATGACAAGAATAACAATCTTAGCTGTTCAGATTTTCATAGATAGGTTCAAACATATTTTTAAATACTTTAAACATCTCTAGTGTTGCTATTCTCCAGTTTCTTAATGAACTTTCCTCTTAGAATTGCTTTCAGAGTGTCCCACAGGTTTGGGTATGTTGTGCCTCTATTTTTATTGAATTCAAGGAAGTCTTTAATTTCTTTCTTTATTTATTTCTTGACCCAAGAGTAATGTAATTGAACATGAGTTTGCAGGATTTCTGCAACTTGTGTTCTTGTTGAATTCTAATTTTAAACCATGGTGATCCCATAAATACAGGGGGTTATTCCAATATTTTGTACCTGTTGAAGTTTTCTACATTGCGGAATATGTGGCCGATTTTAGAGAAGGTTCCATGTGGTGCTGAGAAGAAGGTAGAGAAAAAAAGAAGCAATCTCACCCAGGAGGAGTAGATACCAAGAAATAATCAAACCTAGGGCTGAAATCAATCAAGCAGAAACAAAGAAAACAATACAAATAATCAATGAAACTAAGAGATGGTTCCTTGAGAAAATCAATAAGATAGACAAACCATTATCCAAAGTAACAAAAGGCAGAGAGAGAATATGCAAATTAACAAAATCAGAAATCAAAAGGGGGACATAGCAACAGACACTGAGGAAATCCAGACAATCAAGAGGTCATACTTTGAAAACCTGTACTCTACAAAATTAGAAAACTGAATGGAAATGTATAATTTTCTACATAAAAATCATTGACCAAAATTAAATCAAGAACAGATAGGTAATGCAGATAGACGTATAACCTCAAATGAAACAGAAGCAGTCATCAAAAGTCTTCCAAGCAAAAAATCCTAGGATCAGATAGTTTCAGTGCGTTATCCTACCAAAATCTCAAAGAAGAGTTAATACCAATACTCCTCAAAATGTTCCACACAATAGAAGCAGAAAAGTCATTGCCAAACTCTTTCTAAAAGGTTACAAGTACCTTGGTACTGAAACCACAAAATGACACAGCCAAGAAAGAGAAGTACAGACAAAAATTACTCATGGACATTGATGGAAAAAATACTCAATAAAATATGGAAAATAAAATCCAAGAACACATTAGAAAAAGCATGGACTATGATCCAGTATACTTCATCCCATAGTTTATTAAGTGTCTTTGAAGTGAATTTAAGCCATGGATCCTAAAACATTATTAATGTCATTATAATGCAAACAAGTAGTCAAGAAAGTCAACCTCATAGAAACAAATTAGAAAATGTAACAGAGTTGGAAAATGCTAGTCCTTGGCTACTATGTACCAGGTCATAGGGCAAAGGATGTGAAGATAATTGGCGCTTAGGGAAGAAAGACATCAGAGTCTGCTCTGAGATCTGACTGGGGGAATATTTGATTGTACCTAGGGAACCACCTTGAAATTATGGCCTCCAATTGTATGATCATTAATGTATATTGTCTTAGAACACTGTGCTAGCTTTGACCAGCATCATTTTTCATGTTTGGAATCTGCAATTTTGTATCCTTGTGTAATAAAATGCTGTGACATGTGAATGTTCATTTTCTGGCTTGGAAAACACACAGGACATACGGAAATATGTGAGGAATGCAGAAAAATATCTAAAACTTCACTCACATGGATATTTAATCAAGTACCTGTACCAGAGAAAAAAGGGAAGTGACAGTACTGATATAGCAAAGCCATGACTGGAAGGACCAGCCCACATAATGAGAACAGACTGTCAGGTGGTTTTACAGAACATAGTCAGACCAGCTAGGGAGCACAAGTAAGAACAATACCAGGACTCACCATGATCCCAATGTTCATTGTGCTGCTGTTCCTTGGTAGGATATGAAGAGTGAGCGTGGACACTCAAGTTTGTAAAGAATCCTATTCCACAGCCAGGTCTATTTCATATGGTGCATAAGTGTTCTTATATGAGCCCTGGTGGAAGATCAGAACACAGTGACATATTGCAGCTGGTGATGATAGGTGAGCAGACACTCCGGGGTCCTACAACAGTCTCTCCCTTCAGAAAGAGGTATATTCTCCAAGGGTACTCTTGAGCCCAACCTAGTAGACAATATATGTAGGTTAATTTCATTTCATTCACTGATACTTATATCCTAGGAGCTTATGAAAAACCAAGCCTGTCAATATTCCCTCGCCATGCTGTATCCACAGAAGAGTTCATAACCATGAACTGTAGCTCATCATATTCATTCTGATCCAGGAAGGAAACCACAACCTCTCCTGGATCCTGGACTCACAGCAACATGCCAATGTGTCAGCTTGTGTTTGGTTTGTTCTGGACTCTGTGACTACAAAACACAATGGAATATTCAGATTATATGGCTATTTTAGGAATAATCCCCACATCTGGTCAGAATCAAGTGACTCAATTGATGTCCTGGTCTCATGTAAGGACCCCTGACTTATCCTTTCTTAATGTATATGATCACTCATTTATCTTCTCTGAGAAGGGCCCTTGCCTAGAACAAGAATAAGGAAACCTTAATTAAGAAAACTCTTCATTCCAAAAGACTTTCACACCTCATAGAGGACAAACCATAAACATCTCCTGATGCAAGTGTTCCCCTTCCTGACTCACTGCAATTAAGCAAAGACAAGTGTGTTATGTTTAAAATATATGATGTAGTAATCAGACACTGTCACTGTACTAGTTAGGTGTCTATCCTGTGATGAAAACACAATATTCTAAAGGAACTTGTGTAGGAAAAGGATTTATTCCATCTAGCAGATTATAATTTACCTTGAAGACAATTACAAGTAGACACCCAAGGAGGAGCAGAAGCAGAGGCAATAAAGGAGCACTTCATACTGACTTACTCCCAAGTGGCTTGTTCAACACATTTTCTTATACTTTCAAGGTCAAACTAACAAGGCTTAGAACCACACACAGTGGCCTGGAAACTCCCACAACAATTATAAATAAATCAGGAAAATTCCTTAACAGAAATGCCCTGTGTCCAAAATGATAAAGGCATTCTCTTTTCATTTAAAGTTGCTTTTTCCCTGATGACTCTAGCTTGTATGAAGTTAGCAAAACCTAATCAGAACATTTTACATTGGCTGGATGTCTCAGCCAATCCTCAGTATATGCCAGAATCCCAAAGAAAAATCTCTAATGCCAGTGAAGGAATGAACTTGGTGAGGAGAGCAAGGCTATGTGGGAAAAGAGAGATCAAGCTTCCTTTTTCCATGTTCTTTACATAAACTTCCAGGAGAGGCTACATTCCAAATTATAAGTAGATATTCTTACCTCAAAAGATATTGATGTAGGTGTATCTTTCTATATCAGTATCCTGAGTAAAAGGTGGTCTTCCCTCTTCAAATTATGTAATTATGAAAAAGTCACTCAAAGTTGAGTGCAGTCATTGGGTTATTCTTAAATTCAGAAGTAGCTAAGTTGATAATCAAGAATAGCCAGTGAGGTTCTATTTTCTAATACCTGACCTGTAGGTATAGCTGTCTGGGTTGGCACCACAATAAAACATTCCCTCAACAATGTTGCAAGGTGATGGGATGTCTGTTTGATCTTTCCTATACTGTTAGTCTGTTTCATAATCTTTGTTTTCTTACATATATTATTCTTTGCTGAAGAACTGCTAAGCCAGACTTTTTTGGTGTTAAAGCAGTTTACAAACTGCTCAAGCTCATGCAAGCAGCCTCCCATTCACGCTTCAGTTTAGTAATCACAATTACATTCAATGGTTCACCACATAACCCTTGAGTGGCATTGCTGACTTGTTTCTGGTGGTGATATCTTATGGGCACTACTGGATAATTTACTCCTGTGATCCTGGGTAAAGTACCCGTAATACTGTAGTTTTAATTATTCTTGGACTACCTACAAGATTTTCTTAGGGATTGCTAGCTGGACTAAAACTAATAACTATTTTCAATTTACTTCTATCTTACTTGGAGTATACAAGGGACACAGTGGTCATGTAATTTATAAAGCAATTAACATCAAAAAGACAAAAAAACAACTAAGAAAGCAAACCAAATGCTTAACTATTTGTGAACTTAACCGTAACCCAAGAGACTGCATTCCACTGTGACTTTTTAGTAATCAGATAATTTGAAGAGGGAATACCACCTTCTATCAGGATCTTTGATATGGAAGGATAAACCTTTTTAAAGGTCTTTTGGGTGGGAATACCTACTTTTACTCTGGAATGCAACTTCTTCTGGAAGTTTATGTAAGGGACAAGGAAAGAGAATGCTTGAGCCCCATTTTCCCACATAGTAATGCTCTCCTTGTGAATTTCATTTCTTCACTGGCATTGGACCTTATTCTTTGTGATTCTGGCATATATGGAACCTGCTGAGACATCCAGTATTGTGAATGGAACAACTACTGGATTCTTGGAAGTTTCATTGATAAACAACCATCTTTGAATTAGCTGGACTATAAGCCATTTTATTAAACCAGCTCTCGCTCTCTATATATTTACATATAGATATAGATAATTTGTATCTCTCCCTATCTCGACCTGTCAATAATTTATGAATATAGCATATATCTTAATATATCTATCTTTCTATCTATATATCATTTATCTAATCTATATTCATCCATACATATATATGTATGTATATATATGTATATATATATATGTAGAGAGAGAGAGTCTCCAAGTTTTATTACTATAGAAAACCCAACATAACACAATGCAATAATTTTAGAATTCCTGTAAATAATTGCATTGTACATTCCAAGATGTTGTGAGAATTAACAACATGTACCAGAAGTACCTTGGGTTTCCTCATGTAAACATGAACCAACACTATATGAATTTTGGATATGGCAATTGGTAGAAGGATGTTTAGTGTTTGGGGTATTACACTCACAGTTAGAATGGACAGAGGTACTACTTTTGTAATATACTCTATTACTGTTTTACCAATAGATACTCATTCCAACTCGACTTTCCTAAGAGAGAGATTTAATCCTTTGGAGGAGGTCCTGACTTTATTAGGAATTCTTAGAATTAAAACAGAACTGATTCAACTCAGACCAGCACTTCATTCTTTTTTTATACATACAAATTTTATTTAAATTAGAAACAAATCTTATTTTACGTATCAACCGCAGTTCCCTCTACCATCCTCCCATACCCCCAAGGAACCCTCCCATCCCATCCCTCATTCACTCCCCAGGGAGGGTGAGGCCTTCCATGAGGGATCATTAAAATCTGCCAAGTCATTTTGGGCATGGCCAATACCCTCCCCAGTGTATGTAGGCTAATAGATTATCCCTTTGTGGGAAATGGGCTCCCAAAGTCCGTTCGTGTATTAAGGCTACATCGTAGTTCCAGAGGCCCCATAGACTGCCCAGTGATCCTAACTGACACCCATGTTCACAGACATGCATATTTAACCATATCCCTGCACCAGAGAAAAAGGGAAGTGATAGCAGCGATGTGGCAAACACATGACTGGCAGGACCAGCCCACAGAATGAGAACAGACTGTCAGGTGGTTCTACAGAGCATAGTCAGACCAGCGTGGGCGCACAAGTGAGAACAATACCGAGACTCGCCATGATCCCAGTGTTCATTGTGCTGCTGTTCCTTGGTAAGATATGAAGAGTGGGCGTGGACACTCAAGTTTGTAAAGAACCCTACTCCATAGCCGGGTCTGATTCCATATGGAGAGCTCAGGGGATCCAGCCTGGCTCTCAGATAGAAAAAAATCTCAGAGGGAATTTTCTTCCAGGTCTGAGTATGGAATACAAGACTGAAGTACTGGCAGGTGAGTGTATCTATCCATCCCAGGTTTTGATATTTTATTCTGGAAACCAGACTTCCCCTTTTCTCTCCAGAAGACTAATTTTTCACAATTAAAATAGGAAAAAGTTTGTATGGGCTAATGCTGTGATGCTTGTGAGGGCTCTGTTCTCATAGCTGTGATCTGTGGGAGGATTGTACTGGGATTCAGTCTTTGATTTCCTTGCAGGTTCTCTCCCAAAGCCCCTCATCTGGGCTGAGCCAAGCTCCTTCATTGCTCAACATATGCCTGTGACTATTTGGTGCCAGGGGTCCTGGGATGCCCAGCAATATTTTCTGAGTAAAGGGGGAAGCATAGATCCTTGGGACACACAGAACCCTCTGAAAACAAAGAATAAGGCCAGGTTTAACATCCAATACATGACAGAGCAATATGCTGGGATATATAAGTGTTCTTATATGAGCCCTGGTGGAAGATCAGAACACAGTGACATCTTGAAGCTGGTGATGATAGGTGAGTGGACACACAGGGGTTTTACTACAGCCTCTCCCTTCAGAAAGAGGCATACTTTCCAGGGGTACTACTCTTGAGCCCAACCTGGTTGACAATGTGTGTAGCTTAAATTCATTTCATTCACTAACCCTTATATCCTAGGAGCTTATGCAAAACCAAGCCTGTCAATCTGGCCCCACCATGCTGTGTCCTCAGGAGTGTCCTTAAGCATGAACTGTAGCTCATCACTGAGATTTGGCATGTTCATTCTGAACAAGGAAGGAAACCACAACCTCTCCTGGACCCTGGATTCAGAGGAACAGGCCAAGCATTCAATCCATGCTCACTTTGTTCTGGCCTCTGTGACTACCAACTACAATGGGACATTCAGATGCTATGGCTGTTTTAGGAATAATCCCCAAGTATGCTCAGCATCAAGTGACCCTCTTGATGTCCTGATCTCAGGTAAGGACCCCTCACTTACCCTTTCTTAATGTATGTGGTCACTCATTTAACTTCTCTAAGAAGTGCTCTTGCCTAGAATAAGAGAGTGAGGAAACTCTTCATTCCAAAAGACTTTAACCCATCATACAGGAAAAACCATCAGTATCCCCTGATGCAAGTGCCCACCATTACTTACTGCAATTTAACAGAGGCAGGAGGGTTTAAATTGGACACAAATTTGATTAACCAATGAGACATTGTGTCTGTACTAATTAGGATTCTACTCTGTGATGAAAACACAATGTTCTAAAGAAACTTGTGTGGGAAAAGTTGTATTACATTTAATAGCTTACAGTTCATCATGAAGAGAGATAGAGGTACACTCCAGGAAGGAGCTGAAGCAGACTTACTCACAAGTGGCTTCTTCTGCCTGTTTTCTTATACCATCAAGGTCCAACTACCTAGGGTTAGAACCAACCACAAGGACCTGGTCCCTCCAACATCAGTTGTCAATCAGGAAAATTCCCCAACAGGCTTGCCTACAGGAGATTATGACGGAGGCATATTCTCAATTAAAGTTGCCTCTTCCCTGATGACTCTAGCTTGCATCCAATTAGTAAAATCTAACCAGTGCAGTGTCCAGTGGCATGCACTCTCCTTCACTGCCCTCTTGTTTTTATCTTGAAATACAGGGCTCACCGTCATGTCAACAGTGGTCACCAAGTACTTGTGGCACAAACACAGCTCAGGCTTAATCAGGAATTTCTGTGTGCCCCAGTATCTCATTCTCCACTTACATTCATTTACATTATTTATTGAGGCTGAGGGAAATCTGAGCTGTGATCTTGATATGCCCACAAGTATCCAGATGCATAAAATCTTGCCTGAAACAAGGTGATAGTCAGTTGGAAGTACATAGATTCCAGATTGAGGTAGAAATAGAAAGGCCATAGTCAAGTGCTGGAAGTACAAATACTCACCTCTCCATCCATCTCTGGCAGAATCCAAGGACCAGTTCCAAACTCACAGTGGGAATGGTAAGTAAGAGCTCTCTTGATATGTGGGTACAATAATGTGTGAGATCATTATGGATTGGCGAAGCCCCTTCTGATGTTAATAAATCAAAAGTACTGAACTTGCTCCCCACTTAAATAATCTGTCCCTTACATAGCCAAAGCCTCAATATACCTCTCTACCTAGATCCCATGCCCTCCTTAACACCAATTTCTGATCCCCTTGGGTCCTGAAATCCCAAATATGGTTTCTTCCTATCTTCTAGTTCCCTGGATTGATTTTATTGAATAATGAAGGGAAACCAAGGTGTTCTTCTGAGACTCAGACTTGAGGAAAATCACCTTTTCTGAGTCTTCCCCTTGATTTCTGCAAGTGTAAAGGAAACTGTTGGCCCAGATCTTTAATTTACTTCCTGTGCTTTCCTTGACTGTGATCTCCTGGATGAGTAGGAGTCTCTTCTATCAGATGCCAGTTCTGGAATGACCATGTCCCCTCTGTCACAAGAATGGTGACACAGTACACAACACTAGAAGAGACTCAGTTTGTCCTGGACATTCAGACTCTTTGTGTAGAGCTCATATTCTGTAGTGTGGGCAAGTCTGAAAGTCAGACATTGGGTTCCAACCCCAGCTCTTTATACTCCTTCTAAATTACCTGGGCCTACTGGGTCTCTCTGAGCCTTAATTTCATCATCCATCCTATCTGGATAATGGAAACAATTCTGTGATGTATGATTGTGAGAATGGAGGCTTTGACTGGGTGGAATAAAATGGGTGTTTGGGTAAATATATCTTTCGCTCATATGCAATGTCAATTGTGCCCAAGGACTAGGAAGATACCAGAAAGTTCTGATTGGAGTCTTGGTGACCCTTCTCTTTATTTTCTTCCTCCTGTTTCTTCACATCCTCTTCCGTTATCAGCGTAAACGCAAAGAGAAGAATACAGGTAAGCAGAGTGAGAGTGACTTGGGTGTGTGTATGTGGTGGTAGAGAACACATATTGTCTCCAGATTCATGAAAATTTCAAATATTTGAAAAGATTTTCCATCTGCCACATTATTTCTATACTTATATTTTAATATTCCCCTTATTCATCTGAAATTTTGTATTGGTGGGGTCTCCACATTCTACTAGCTGATACTTTTTCATTTCATGCAGCCCAAGGAGAGACCAACTTGCATCTTCTTGCAGGGGCTCCAGAGCCAACACCCAGGGATAGACTCCCTCAGAAGAGGTAACTCTAGCCCAGAGACCCAGACTCCCAGCTGCCTCACACCTCACTGCTACCTGATAATTTCTGTCTCCACAGATCCAATCCAGATGCTGCCATCAAGGAAGAAAAGCAGTGTGAGAGAGAGAGGTCCCAGGGGATGGAGATTCTTTAAATCTCAGCATACAGGACAGATGGGAGGGTCTGTGGTCAGCGCTTTAAGGGACTGAACCTTCACAATGGACCTAGAGACTTGACTGTAAAGAGAAACTTTTTCTTTGAGAGAAGCCTTCCTGCCAGCCTGGTTCTAGAGCCGCATCAGTCCCAAATAAACACACAGGAGGTTATATTAGTTATGAAGCTGTTGGCCTTGCTTGTCTCTTACAGGCTAGCTCTGCTTTAAGTAATTACCCCATAATTGTTAATCTAAGTATGTCTCTTACCGGAGAATAGTTCTGGGCTTCCTACCCTTGACCACACTCCCTGCTTCTCTGTCTCCTTGTGGAGCAATGGCATAGGTCTGGGAGACTGAAAAATTCAGGGCCTCTGGCCAAGAAATGACTCTTTTGTTCTAACAAAACAGACACTTCTGTGAAGGACACACAACCTGAGGAGAGTCTAGAGCTGGACAGTTGGGTAAGACTACTGTTAGTGATAAGAACTTATGGTCTAATTTGGTCCAGCACTCCCTTTTAGTGCCAGCAACAGCCACAGCCACAGCTGATGCCTCCATTCAGAAAAAAAATTGCCTCTTAACTATGACCACTCCTTCTTGGCTCCACTATGACTTTGTGACCTCTGTCTCCTGTCTCCCTTTTGTATTTGTGCCATCTGACTGTTGCTTAGCAATGCCTGAAGACTCAGAACGCATGAGTCACTGAGCTCTCATCCGCCAAGATCCCCATATATGCTTTCACCTTGTCATTCACAGAGAGCTTCTCCTTTTTTGAGCTTGAGAACAATTTTATTAGCATTTAAGAAAAAACACAGTACAGATGGCAAGTAAATCCCAGCAGCTCCCTGGAGAATAAATAGATAAACGGAGAAAAGAAATAGGGGAACGCCATGCTTGAGTAGAGCCAGGATGTAGATCAACTAGGTGATTGCTGGCAGTCACAAGCCAGGGAGGGAAGCTTTAGAGAAAGTTTATTGAATCCCAAAGTATTGAGGAAAGCTTGCTTAGAATTGATACACAAAAAAATAACGGAAATGTTATGTAGTAACTCAAAAATGTAGGCACATTTACAAAATTGTATGGGTAACAGAACTATAAGCTGCTTCAGATAGCATCTTTTGTTCTGGCTTTCCATGATGGCTGCAAACGCATCAAGGGGCAGAGATCCTCACCTACTCAAAGCTCACCCCAAGGCTGGGAAATTAGATGTGTGTAAGTGAAGAATGTTCATGGTGTGGTTGGGTATTAGGGAAAAGGAAGCAGAGAAAATGGATATAGTGTGTGAGGCACACAGGGCCAGTGTGGATCACAAGGGGAGACTCTGACTGGGTGTATTCTGGGGGGAATCCTGAAGAGGTCTACCCAGACATCCAATGAACTAGCACAAACAGGCAGATTTACAGCAGGTGAAAATGTCGTCAGAGAGGGAGAGGCACTTGTAGCTGGATCTGAGAAAACAGGCATTGGTGTGAGGATAAAAGTCCAGAACTATGGGAAGGACACTTACAGACTGCCCAAAGACTCAGAAAGCTCCCTGAAGACCCTGAAGATCTCTCTGTTTGAAGAAGTTTCTGAATGGAATCAGGAGTCCCTTTATCCATCTCTTTATCTCCCTGCTGCAGAAACCACCTGATGAAGACCCCCAGAGAATTGTGTATGCCCAGGTGAAACACTCCAGGCTTCAGAAGACAGGGTTTACCTCTCCCTCCTCACTGTCAGGAAAAGTATTGGACATGAAGAACAGCCAATCAGAAGAGAACAAAGAGATACACTCTCAGGTGGGTCCTGTTCATCCCAGCCACCTAAGTTGCTAATGCCAAGCACAAACCTTCCTCAAACTCTGTCCCACTGCAGGCAACTACATCCAAGGAACCCCAGGAGGTGACTTATGCCCAGTTATGCAGCAGGACACTGAAATAGGACAACAGCTCAGACCAGTAAACAGCCATCACAAGAAGAATACCCTAACCCCGCATTCCATGGACAGAAATTAGGAGACATCTAAGATAAAATATGTCCCTAGTGCACTCTGTCTAATGAATGACAGCCATCATGCAAACATCATGCATCATAAGGAGACTCTCAGAAATTTGGGAACCATCTTGATTCTTTGGTCAGAGATTAACTAATGTCCTACATTTTGTACGTAAAGTCAAATCCTTCTCAATAAACAGTGAAATGAGAAAGAAATGAAGTGAGAAAATGTGACTTGAATGACAGTGTAACCACTCGGGAGGCAGAGGCAGGCGGATCTCTGTGAGTTCGAGGCCAGCCTGGTCTACAAGAGCTAGTTCCAGGACAGCCTCCAAAGCCACAGGGAAACCCTGTCTCGAAAAAAAAAGACATATTGATTTTGAAACTGGAAGTTTCAGAATCATGAATAAATGCATAAGCAAATAAAATGTCTTCAAAATCAATGGCTTCATCTATTACAATGAAAAGAAAGGATGTTAAAAACAAACTGTTCCAAGTGGAGGCATAGATGAGAAAATGGTGATGTAAGAGAAGCCACAGGCCCTGCATGATGTCCAGTCATCCTAGATAATCAGGAGGCACCATGAATAGAAGGATTTATCTATCATTTGAAACCTTCGGGTTTATCCCTAGAGAAAATGGAGAGAAAGAGAGAGGGTGTAGGGAAAGAATTTGCAGTGCTGCTTATACATTTTGATGTGTGGTCTTCAACTGAACTGTGGTCAACTTACCAGGAGTGACAACCATGAAGAAGACTGAATTTTCCTCTCCCAAAAGTTATCTAGCCAAAAGATTCTCAATTAGAGATGAACTTCATACCCACCTCCCCTCTCTGTGCTGGGATTTGGGCTGGCTTGTGCCTGTGCAGGACTTATGCATGTTGTCATAATCACAGTTAGTTCAAAACTGCAGTTGCCCTTCTATGTCTGGAAAAACACTATTTCATTGTAGTTATCCAGTCTTTGATTTTTTATTATGTGTATTTCTATTAATGTATTTTTTACATTCCAATCCCAGTTCCCCCTCCCTCCTCTCCTCTCACTCCTACCACTTCCTCTCACCCCGCCTCCCATCTACTTATCAGAGAGGGTAAGGCCTCCCCTAGGAAGTCTACTAAGTCTGTCCCATCGTCTCGTCGAGGCAGGAAGGACCATGACACCCTCCCTTTGTCTAGGCTGAGCAAGGTATCTCTCCATATAGAATGGGCTCCACTAAGTCAGTTTGTGCATTAGAGTTAGGTCTTGGACCCCCTGCCAGTCTTTGTCTCTTACGACTTTCTGAATCAACAATCCCTGAGCAATGGGTTTGAGAGGGTGTGATGTGTATGCCCCAGCATCTATCAGCGGCCAACAGATCCTTGGCTAGATGTGAGGCCTTGTGAGCTTCTTCCCCGTCCATGCTGGGAGTCCTGACCGGCTTCATTTTGTGTAGGTCTTATGCCAGGGACTCACAGCTACTGTGAGTTAAGGGATGAAATGTTTCTGATACATCCAACTGACACACAGAACCATTAGCAGTCCTGTAGCTCTTGCAATTCTCCCTTCTGAAGAGGGTCATGTGATAGAGATGTTCTATTTAAGAGACTCCGCTGTCACTTATCCTCTGAAATTTGACCAGTTGTGTGTCTCTTTAGTCACCACCATGTGTGGCAAAATGAAGGTTTGGTAAGGAATGAGAATTGCACTCTTCTAAGTGTGTAGAATAAGTATTAAGAAAGCAGATTAATATTATGCACTTTTAGCAAAATAGTGTTATGACTAATAACATCCCAAACACAAATTTTGGCTCAATTATAACACCTGGCTTGGGTCACTCCTGTGGAGCAGGTCTTAGGTACAATCAGAAGTCTGTTGGTTACCCCACATAACATCAATGTCACTATGGTATCAACAGCCATAGTTTGTCAGGGTATTAATTATTGCAGTTTTCAAAACTGGTAAATGCTCCCCCAAGCAATCTATACCACAGCCCCTGGCATAATGAAACCTAGCCAGCATGGATGATGCTTCCAGGTATGTATTTGCTCAATGTCTTTATATGCTATGATCAAAGTGAGTGTTGTCTTCAGCTATAAGATCTTACCATCAATTCTGAAATGTAATCAAGAATAATGGCAATAGCCTGTATTGTTTGGGGGGGTTCACTTGTTCTCCCTGAGCAATAGCTAGAGAGAGAGCATCCCACATCTGGCTTTTCTGCTAAGTAGCCTATGGATTCTGAGAGGAGAATTACCTTTTTGCATAGGATTCCAGGGGCCAGCCCCAGAAGTTCATAGATCCCAAGAAGAGATAAGTTATCAGTGAGGAAAGAAGCGAGTCAGTGGTTGGGAGAATCTTGTAGCTCTGACTAATTAGCCATCAGGTTGCTTATTTGTTTACACACACACATTCATAAGAGAAAGACAGACTCAAGATGTTTTTCAAAGGTAAAAATTACATCATTTTGTCTGCAGACATGTATTTTATTTTCCATAACATGTCCAGGGTTGAAGGCTAAATTACAATTATATATATATATATATATATCAGATTTTATTTTCATCATAGTCCCCTAAACCTATTTCAAACAATCTTTAAACTGTTTTTGTTAAGGCAAACATACTTAATATATAACAGCCTGTTCCCAGGCTGAGAGCTCTTGCAATTTCAAAGAGCTAACCAAAGACAAAATATCTGATTCAGTTCAGGTGAAACATCATGGTTTGAATAGTGTACTATCAATGCTTAGTGTACAAATTACTACTCATAAATAAGCCTATCATTGAATGTCAATCTTTCTAGGGGCACACCCAGTATATCCCCCTATTTAATGTGTTACATATTCAGTAAACTCTGAGCAAAGTGTAAGAGGAGAACTCTGACCTATGACCAAATTTCTTGTTCAGCTGAAGCTTGTCAGTCTCCTTTAAGTTTACACTGCACAATAAATAGAATTAAGAGATTTCTTCCTGAAACTTGTGATGATTGTTTGCATCCATTGGATCGTTTAATGGTTGCAACTACAGCAGCCAGCTTTTTTAGGACCAATCCAAGTAATAGTTACTGGAACACAAAGAAAGTTTTCAAATACAGTACCTATATGATTAGTAAAATTGCACATATTGCAGCAAAAACAATAGCAGAAATTTATCAAGGGATGGATGAATTGAGGGCCACAATAAAAATAAATAAATCTGTACTTGTTACTAAAACACAATCTTGATTGTAAACAATTTCCTTGCACATGTTCCTTTAATGTCAGATTTTCCTCATTCTATTTATGGTCAAAATATTTATTTGTGTAAAGAGACAGACAAAATCTCAGTAGGGACCTTTGAGTGTCCATTAATGTGAAGATGGCTTTCCACCTTCTTTGGTCCTCTGTTAGATATCCTTATAAGTCTCTTATGCTTGACTATATTTACTGGACTAACTATAGAAGCAATGAATTCAAACTTGGCCTCTATTACCCACCATTTAAAAAAATTAGAATGAAGGGAATGTTGGGAGCTGAAAGGTCCTTGCATCCACAAATCACTAGGGAAATTAGGAATGTGAAGCAATCTTGGTTTTCTTTTCAAAGAAAATGAGGTATAAACCTGTTTTTATCCATTCAGAAGACTGGAATTTGAGGTGATTAATATCCTGGTGATTCACAAGCAGTACTGGAGATATACACTAGTCTAGATGAACCTTACAAGTATCCATATAGGCAGGGATTCCCCCAAACTCCCACAATCAGAATAAGAGAAAACTAATAGCCTAATAGTTCTCTCTAGGATTGAGACCATGCCAGATCCTTCCCACAGCCATTAAGCTAATATCTATCTCTGTCTCTAGAGCCCATGCTCCTGAAAGAAATGACAGTTCCTTTAAATTGATTTTTGATATTATTATGTCTCATCGTATTGTATTACATCAGGAAACATTTCCCCTGAATTGTATTGTGTTTAAATGTATTTACAATAAACCACTTGGTGTCAAAGTCCCAAAGTTTGAACCAGCCTGGATAACTAAGTAATTCTGAACTGGGTTTCCTTCTTACCTTAAGTTGCTTGTTTCTCTGCTAGCCATAGTGTTTGCAGGCACCCCTACAACTGTATAAACCTTTTATGTTACCCATGACCTTCAAAAGAATCTCTTTGAAGCATCATTGGAAGAAACTTGTATTAAAGAAACTCCAAATAAAATTTCATCTTCAGGATGCTCCCTGGAAGTCCTGCCTATTCTCTACTGTCTACCTATTGGGCATTCAGCTCTTTATTATACCGATCAGAATAAAATGGTGACATATTTTCACACAGTATGATCAAATACCCAGCAACAATGTACCAAATGAAGTCAGAGTTTCTTTTCTAAACCACTGGCTAGCATCATTCTAGGTACAAAAATATCAACTTTAGTAGTCAGTAAACCAAAAATCTCCATTTTCTTTCTTTCTTTTTTGGTTTTTCGAGGCAGGGTTTCTCTGTATTGTTTTAGAGGCTGTCCTGGAACTCGCTCTATAGACCAGGCTGGCCTTGAACTCACAGAAATCCACCTGCTTCTGCCTCCTGAGTGCTGGGATTAAAGGCGTGCACCACCAACACCCAGCTCTCCATTTTCATTTTAATATGAGTATAATTTCCATTACCAATGGTCTCTAGAGAAGACTTACTTATGCTAAAATCTGTATTATAGCATTTAGACTGATCAGTTGGATTAGCTAAACCAAAACATCCCCCATTCATGTGACTAAATATTTGCATTCCATCTTTTACCCAACATGACTTGCAGGAGACTTAGTTAATCTGAGGATCTCATCTTCTCAGCTACTGTTATTACTCATACAACTTCAGAGTGCCATTTTGAATCTGTGAATCTTTTATATTTCAGGATCTTCTAGAGACTTAGAGGTTTCTCTATTTCCATTTACAAAAGATTATGTTTCAATTCACAGGAACAAACTTTTCAACAGCATAGTAATGTGATGACGTGAGAGTAATATCAGGTACCTTCAATCACACTGTAGAAATATTTTAATTGAGGAGGAAGTCTACAGTGAAATATTACAGAAATGTACACATGCTTCTGGTAAGATAAGGCTTGAACTGAATCTGGAGTACACAGAGCAACATTTGTCAAGGCCCAATGAAAGAGTGGGCTTCTGGGGGTATATTAGCAAGAGTGGAAAAAAGGCAGCATAAGGTAATTGGCTATGAATAAAATAAAAATACATATACAGATAAGAAATTTCCA